TGTGTGTGCGCGCGCATGGGGCGAGCGTGCCCGGCCCCGCGAGCCCGGGAGGAACAAAGCTCGGGGCGCTCCACCGGGGGCTCCTGGGCAGACCTCTCGCCCTGCGTGGTATCGGTGCCTCCTGCCAGCCTGCGCCCAAGGTGCTGCTCCCAGCAGCCTCACGGTCGCGGGGCGGAGTTGGCTTTTTCTCTCCCCCACCCGAAGCGTTTGCAACCGCGGGTGCCTGGGGGGACAGGACCCCTGGGCCCCGTGGCTCAGGTCTTTGGGGCTTAGTGGTCAACGTATCGCTGCCACCACGGCTGCTCCATGCCCGTGCCCGTGCCTGCCACCAGCACTTTTATTTTGTGAATAAGACGCTCTTCTTTATTGTCACATGATATTCCTCCCCTCCTCCCCTGCACATTCATAAATCCGGAGCCTGCCTCTGCTCCTTTCATTCAGAGCTGCCATTAGCCAAGGTAGCGGCGGCGGTCGGTCGCTTCAATGCGAAGAGCAGGTCCTCAGCGGCTGGGACGTGCGCCTGGAGGGAGGCCCCGCGCGTGTCCGTGCGGGGGTGTAGGGCTTCGGGTAGCAAGCTTCCGAGGGCCCGAGGCCCGGGGTTCTTTTGCCCCAGGCGAGCGTTGAGACTCTGGAGGAGTGCAGGGAGGGGAAGTGACTCACTGCTGGGCGACAGGGAGGCTTGAAGGGCGATCTCCTCTTGCAGCAGGTGATAGAATGCACTGCTCCACGCCTAGACCTAGGCACTTTGTTTCTTTAATGCGCCTTTAAGCCTTGGCCTTTGCTATTGCCAGGCTGGTGGAAGGGTTGGTGGTGGGGAAAGGGATTTTCCTTCCTGTGGCCCCCAGGGAGCTTTGACTGCAGTAACTACTGGTCCTAGAAATCGGTCGCTGGCCAGGAAGCTGCCTGGTTTCAAGTGACAGTTGCCCCGCCGCATCTGCTGGCCATTTTATTTTAAATTATTTGCTCTGCCTTCCTATACAGTATCTTGAAATGTGAAGAAGAAAATAAAAGTCATGCTTTCAGGGCCGAAATACGGAGGGGGTGGAATGTGCAGCTGGGCCATGCACCCTTTCAGGTTTGACTAATAAACGGAGGTATTTTGTCCACCCTCCCCTGGACCCACACACACTAGTAGCCAGCAGAGGATGGTGGCCAAGATCTGGAGGCTTGGCCCCAGCCCTAGTGAGAACAGGCCAGGCCTGGTCCTTTTCACAGCAGCATGTCAGTCTTGCATCCTGCCCCATCTGGTATGTCAAGCAAAAGGATTCCTGGTGGGGTCACCAGCCGAGAAATGAGTATCTCCGTTCCAGGTGCTCAGAGCTAGTTCAACATGGACCCATCAGTCAGACAAAGGAGATTTGAGGGTAGATTCTTGTTTCACTTCGAATCAGAAAGCCTTGGCACCGAGGCCGACTGCAGAAATGGCTTTCTCGGAGTTCCTTCTAATGTAATGACCTTGGCATGAGACAGTGCTGAGGAAGAAGGCGGCAGCAAAGGGGCTGCAAGACTGCCTTGGTAGGTGCTGTCCATTATCTCCTATGGTCCTACGCAGTGACCCAGCTGAAAGATTCCTCTTTAATGTCAATGCAGGAAGGTTTCCAAGGTTGCTGCTATGCGGCGGTTTTTTTGTTGTGGGTGGTGTTCACCATCCCCACCCCCCCATAATCTCTGCAAACTCAGAACTCAAACGATTGCCTGATGAAGGTAACCGTGTCAGCTTAGATTTTTTTTGCTGGATTGCTTTACCTTTTCCTCTCTATGAGCCAGCCCTAGTGGCCCAGTTAACCGAAAGACTCAAACCCACAGGCTTTTGCTGTGGGAGAAAAGATGCTGCCCCCTTTCCTGCCTAGGAAATCCCATGGGGCAGTTGTGCTCTGTCTTTGGGGTCATTACCCAACAGCAGTAGTTTGGTTTGATTTGGTTTGCTTTGTGTGGAGTTGGGTCTTGTTTTTCCTTGATGGATTGACAACAGTGGCTGCCACTATGGGCTCACACTTAAACGGTGGTGAGCCTGGTGCGGGACCTGACATAGTTTCATTCTGTTGTGCATAGGGTCACTGAGTGAAAGCCAACCTGATGGCACCCAACAACAAACAAACAACAACAACAACAACAACCGTTTTCCTTGTACTGATTTTGTGTGGGATCCCTCAAAGGCTTTTTGATGTGTTCCTTACAAAGAGATTTACTGACATTAAAACTGGGCATGGAGGGGAATTCTTGGTTATACCCAAGGTAAAAGGTTTTCTTGCTAGGCAATATATCTACTTGCGGTTCTTATTAAGAGGTACAGTTATTTAATTAATTGTTAGATTTAGCATCAGAATCTTGAAACTGGTAAGCTCGTGCTGAATTAAAAAAACAAAACAAAACAAAAACTTTGTATTCTAATTTGTCTTAATCCCACTTTAAAACTCTTCTCATAAATATCGGGCAAGTCAAAAAGCTTATCTACCCTTCTTTCACTGGTGGGTCTGAAAAATCCAGATAAAAATGCAAGTTTAGGTTTACAACTGTGTTCTTTTTAATTTGAAAAGTAAAGAGAAGCAACGCTACCTATGCGTGGGATTAAAAATCGTACATCCGCTGTCTGTCTTGAAAGCATGAAAAGAAATCGCTTGGAAGCCCTTACGATGCTGTGCAGCATTCTATTTTACCCTTCTGGGAACGCCTCTCTCCCCCATTTCTGTTTACAAAATAGTTTTATTGAGAATTTATTGAGAGCCAATTCTGAATGTTTGATTGAGCTGTCATGGATGAGCATAGCATACAACGGAATCGTTCGTGCTAGTAAGATGGCGTGGGCAGTCCTCTCCACCGTCAACTCTGGAACATTCCCTTCCTGTCCCCATTGCCATGCCGCCACATTTCTTTCTGGGAATGGCTTTTCAGCTTTCCCTTCAGCCCTCTCTCAAGGTTAAAAGCTCCCGCCTTTCTCAAAAATGAAATAAATAAAAATAAATCTGTGCTTTTGCAGAACCATTTGCAGGACATTGCAAGCATCCAAGCCCTTACACTTAAATACTCCTCTTCACCAAAAATCAGAATATACTTCTCTGAAACCACACTGTCCTGATCACACTGTATAAAATTTAGAGTAATTAATTCCCTGATGTCTGTAGCACTCAGCCCAGTTGCCTTTTTATTTCAGCTAGCATCCAATCAAGGATCCCACATTAAATGCATCTCCCCACCCCCACCCCCTTTAGTTTAGGCTCAAGCCGGCCCTGGGTTCCTTCTGAGACCTCGAAGGCAAAGTAGTTGCTTTGCTTTCGCTGGGGCTTCGTCGGATTGAACAAATCCCGCCCACTTTGTGGCGCTGCTGTGAGAATTAAGTGCGCTTGGGCATTTGAAGAGGTTTCTTACGGGTTCAGCTCATTCATTTTCAAATACCCAGGTGAAGAAGGTGTTGCTCCTTTAACTGATGAGGAATGTTAAGCAAAGTGACTTGCCCAAAACAACTCCCCCCCCCCCCAGTCTTCCAGTACTTCACTCCTTTCTGCTTCTCACACTAGGCGGTAGATGGTCTTCATTATCCCCAGGTGTGGGGGAAACCTCAGCACCGGAAACCAAGAGAACTCTGCTGCCAAGTGGATGCTGACTCTTAGCCCCTCGGCAGAGCACAGGGTGTCCGAGGCGGTATGTGCTTATAGAACCGGGTTGGTGGGTTTTTGGACTGCTGGCCTTTAAATGAGCAGCTCGGTGCTGAAGCGCAGGCATGGTAAGTTGTTTACCCAAGGTCAGGCTGTTCCTAACCCGAGAAGTGGGCCTTGAACTCCAGGCTGCCTGGTTCAGAAAGGAGTCTGCTCTCACGTCTGTGAGGTGCTGCCTCAAAAAGGGTTGGGGAGGGGAGTGCGGGGCTACCACCGGGAGCCCTTCTGACTCAGAATCCTCCATGGTTTCCGATGCTGTCCCTAATTCTTCTATATTGGGGTCAGTCCGTCAGTACCATAGTGGCTTTCCACTGCACTTCCCATCCCTGCACACGCTGTGAGGCACCTCTCTGGATTAAAGTGAGTTACAGACGTTTGAGCTTGAGGATTCTGTGGTCCGCTTTAAAATGAGGATGATATGCATGTATGTATGAGTGCACACGTGTGTGGG